TTGCATCAGGGCTAATCTTCTATTACGGAAATTTTCAAAATGTAGCTATGAGGTCAAACTTTTGTTATTTAAAACTTTATGTTATAACTTTTTCTGCTGTCAACTATGGTGCTCCTTTCGGAAGTCGAACCTTAATGCTTTGCGTGTATTTTATAATAACTTGTTTCGTCGCTTTTTTCATTAACCACGTGATTAGTGTAAATCATATGTTTGTATACAATCATGTCAAGTCTTTCTATGAAATTTTTAGAAATCTTGTATTTAAATTTAGAGAGCGTATATACACCTCAGATAACAGTCTGTTGGTGAGTTTATGTAATTCTGATGTCCGTTGGAAGTCTGCCTTGTTCCAGCATTGGAATAATATTTTGTACTATTAATATTGCCATATGCACACTGAATTATATACATATATTTTTTGTTCATTTATTTATTTATTTTTCATACTAGTTTTATATGGACTTTCAAATGCTTGACAGTTGAAATAAAAATAAATAATAATACAGAGCTCTGAAATTTGTGTACAATGATTTTCAGTCCAGCTATCAAACTTTATTGGAACATGCTGGACTACAAACACTAGAGACATACTTGTTGAAGTTTATATAAGTGTGAACAAACTCTCCCCATCTTTCATGTGGGATTTATACAAGGAGAAAAATGTAAAGTACAATTTAAGAAATTCTCATCAATTACAGTTAAAACGACCAAGGACTAAACGCTATGGACTGGAATCATTGTCTTATTATGGTGCTAAAATGTGGAACTCTCTTTCTAATCGAATGAAGGAGTGCAAAGATTTGTATTCTTTTAAGCAAATGGTGTCATTGTGGTCAGCATCATTTTAAGATATTTAATTGATTATTTGTGAAATCTTACTGTTGTTTTTCTCTGTGTTTGATGTTTGTAATTTTTGCTTTTGTTTGATGTAATTTTTAGTAGTCAGTGATATTAGCCTTTGGCTAGGTATTTCAAACTGACTTTAAATAAACGAATTGAATTGAATTGAAAGTTATTCAGTTCCAGAGGTACAAATAGCTGAAACAAACATTTTTTCTCTTGCATTTTAGTGAATGTTTTTTAGTTATTATTTGTATATACTATATTCTCTATTGTTTACACTATACATAGAGACATTACTATGCTACAGAACATTTTTTGTTTTTTATTATATTTCTTTATTTGACAATAAACTCAGTATAACTTGTCACAACCTTCTTATTAATAGTTTCCTCCTTGAATGAAAAACCCTTCTTTTTATTGTCGGTATAGTGACAGATACGCATTTCTACAGTTTTATCATTTTCTAGTTCACAACCCCCAGTCTACTTGACTACTGTATCACCAACCATTGGATACATCTCAGTATATACTATTTTATTGTCATACGTGTCAAAATCAAATGAAAAAAAAACAAACTAATTTTCTTAAATTTACCTTCATGAGGAGAAATATCTGAACCAGAATTCTCATTGACTTCTTCGTCTTCAGCATCTCCTGCAATTTCGTCTACAAGACTTCCTAATCCTTCAAAACGACCTAGCTGTGACAAGTGACGTTTAGATTCCTAGTGAGACACAGATAACAATATTGATTAACCAACAATCAGTCTAATAAATGGCACAAGACCAGTTCTATGTTTGTTTCACTAAGGTAAATGGCCATATTTGGTCATACAATGTATCATACACTAAATTGTTTTCCTTTTTGAGAGATAATTTTTTTGGAAAAATTTTATAGCTATGAAAGATACACATGAGAATTATTGATTAATTCAGATTCAGTTAAAGGGGAACTAAATAGAGCCTATTTTGGTGTTTGTATTTATCAAGTTATGTATATTGATTATAAATTTGAAAAAAAAAATGAAAAAAAATGATTATCTCAGAGTTATGATGATTTAAATATGAGAAACCATAAACCGTTTGCGCCATCTTGCCATAAAAAACGCCCTCATGAGGTATAAACAGGTAA